AGGCGGCCATGTGGCTGGCAACCCAAATTTAAGTGGTCCTCACTTAACAACCTGTCCTCGCTTAGTGGCCAATTGTTTAGTAAGTGCTTTTTGCCAGTTTCCAAGGCTTGGGAAGGTCCAGGCAAGGCCCGGGCAGGCGGCCATGTGGCTGGCAACCCAAATTTAAGTTGTCCTCACTTAACAACCAGTCCTCGCTTAGTGGTCAATTGCTTAGCAAGTGCTTTTTGCCAGTTTCCAAGGCCTGGGGAGGCTCAGACAAGACCTGGATAGGTGGCCATCACTCTGGGAGGGGCCAGAAATACCATGCGGAATCTCTTTAAAGGATATATAAACTATGTAGTAGCTAGGAGATTATTATTATCAATTGAAAGTGGCTATGAGGGCCTTGAGGTAAGCCTATGCAGGGCCTGTGAGGAAGCTCCACCAGCACCCCACTTCACCTCATGGCCGTGGCGCCGTATGCAACAAGAGAGAATGGGCGGGTAGGTGGCTGTGCAACCTCTTAAGTAGGGCTTATTTGGGGGGGGGATAGGGCTTATATTAGGTTAGGGGGTTGGGCTAAAGACCTCCGAGGTCTCTTCCAACTCTGTTATTCGGTTATTAATGGTATCCTACCCAGAGGGTGGGCTGATACCGGTTCGCACTGGTTCAGGCAAATCGGATGTTAATTTTACTCCATCCCTCCCAGGAGTCTCCATGTAGCCCGTTTGGCTTGCAGGTAAGTGCAGGGCCCGCACGGAGGTTCAGGGAGGGTGAAAAACAGGCCTCCCAGAGGCTCCGGAGGCCATTTTCGCCCCCCCCCCCAGAGGATCAAGGAAAGCCTCCAGAGCCTGGAGAGGGTGAAAATGCCTCCTCCACAATGGTGCAGGAGGCCGACTAAGCCACGCCCACCCTGGCCACGCCTTCCCAGCAACTGGGGCAGAGAACCGGTTGCTCAATCTTTTGAAGCCCACCCCTGACCCTACCCCCCCCCAAGAGGCGGTTCCTCTTTTCACCATGTTGAGACTCTGTTTCCCCATTGGAAAAAGACTGCCTTGTTTTTGGGGGGGTGGGGTGGGGGAACGTTTGGAGGGGGTCTAGATGGGATCTAGAGGATGTCTTTCCTTCATCCTGAGAATAAGGGTCCCCGACAGGATCGTTCACATCCAAGTTTTCTTTTTTTGGTTGGGTGGGGAATAAAATCCAACTCAGAATTCCCCCCCCCCCCCCAGTGCAGGGGTGTTGAACACAAGGCCCATGAGGCAGTCCTGGAAAATGTAAGGGGCCGGCCCGTATCACTTCACCCCAATGATTGGGCCAGCGTGGCTTAGGCCTGTGTCTACCGAGTGCAGAGAACAAACATGCCAGCATTTGGGGAGTGGTGTCAAGCTGGCCACGCCCACCCAGTTGACCACACCCACCCATCAGCCACGTCCATTGAGTAGTATCTGAAGTTGGCCATGCCCACTTAGTTGACCACGCCTCTTCTCCAGGCCAACCACAGCCCTGATTGTTGCCCTTAATGAAATTGAGCTCGGCCCTGCTGCCCCAGCATGTCCAAGACTACACAAACAGACACACAAACAACCACAAAGACACACAGACACATGTGCATGCCTGCACTCTTCCTCCCACACTCTTCATCACCAATCTCCTCCCATTCTCCCCCTCCTTCCTCTCCACAGGGCAAAACCTCATCACTCTGGGAGGGACCAGAATTCAGGATCTCCCTGGAAAAGTTCCAGGGTGGGGTGCGATTGGGGGGGCTTGGAGGTCCTATTGTATGGGGGGGGGCTTGAAAGACGTCTTCCTGTCCTCGATTCCAGCTCCCCCCTCTTATTTGGCTGTCTGGAAGAGAATTCAGCCACTTTCAGCAAAGGAGCAAGCCCCTTCCCCTGAATTACCTGGGCTATTCTCCCCTCCCCCAACAACACAATTGCTTGTGTGTCACACTAATGTGCTTTTCTTTTCCCCCCTCCCTCTTCTTGCCTCCGCTAACAAAAGAAGACTGACTCGGCTGTCCCAATCCTAACCTTAGGATCTCAGCTGCCATTCCCTATCCGTTGGCCTCCCTCTCTCCCCCCCTCCCCTCCCCATGGCCTTTTCTAAGGTTGGGGCTCTCAGCTGTTGCCACCCTCCCTTCAGCCTCTCTCAGACACGAGGGGCTGCTTGCTCTCGTGGAAGAGGAGCCACTTGCCCCACTGCCCCAGGAAGTGCCAATTTGGGGAGGTTCTTGGCCCTTCTGGGGGGGTCTCACCTGGTTGGGCAGATGGTGAATCCCAGGTGGATCTGCCCAGTCTCTTTTTCTGCTTCTCCGCTAGATCTTACTGTCCTTGGAACCGCTGGTGGCGTTTGTGATGGGAACCCAGTCCAGAGGTTTGAAAGCAACCAGCATTTCCAGGCTGGGGAAAAGGCCATTCCTGGTTCTAGCT